GAGGTGTGGGGTTTTGTTTGAGTTCATTTATCTTTAAAATGTCTGGATTTTTATGTAACATTTTGTGTGCATCCCTAAATGCAAACACCACATGTTTGCCTATGACAAGTTTATAGAATGCAAGGTATCTTCTAGGTTAAAGTAATTCACAAGCTGGTGAATGTCATCTTGCAACACACCCTGTACAGTCTTCCTTAAAGGAACACTACAGTATATTTTTTAGTATCTACTTGCTAATGACTCCATACAGACCGAAGCACAGCAGAGGTCCTGGTACAGTATTGAATTGTCAGCGTACCCAGGCGCAATCCCTGTATAGAGTAGTGCCAAACTGATGACTTCAATTGTGTAACTAGTTTAAAACCCAATAAATGGATTGTTTTTTAACACCTGGCTTTTGTCTTCATTAAGAAGAGAAGACAGTTCTGTAGGCAGTGACTCCCATGCATTCCTTTTGCATCTGTAGACCTGGATCCATATATGCATGCCCTCCAGCCAAACCAGATTACCTAGATCAGACCTGTCCAGTACAGTAGCCAATAGCTACTATTTACTATTTACATATGAATTAAAATCTCATTTCCTCAGCCTCAGTACCCACATTTCAAGTGCTCATTAGCTACTTATGGCTAGTAGTACGGCTACTTACTGAGTAGCACAGACGAATGCTTTTATTATGCAAAGTTCTGTTGGATAGCACTGGTCTTGACCATTGATTCTCAAATTGATGTGCCTAAGAATCACGTGGGGCTTTATTAAAATGTGAATTTAAATTCATGCTGCTAGTTCATGATACTGATGCCTGGCCCTGAGATCACAGTTTAAGTTGTGAGGCTTTACATTATATATTAACCACAGATTTTTCTAAAATAAGCTGTATTGAACTATGCCTTAGCAAGTTCCTCAAGTAGGAACTTTATTATTTTTAAATATTTTATTTATTTATTAGCAGAGGGAGAAACAGGCTCCCCGCTGAGCAGGGAGCCCCAAGTGGGAACTTTAAAAAATAAAAGATACTGGGGTGCCTGGGTGGCTCAGTGGGTTGGGCCGCTGCCTTCGGCTCGGGTCGTGGTCTCGGGGTCCTGGGATCGAGTCCCGCGTCGGGCTCTCTGCTCAGCGGGGAGCCTGTTTCCCTCTCTCTCTCTCTCTGCCTGCCTCTCTGTCTACTTGTGATCTCTGTCAAATAAATAAAATCTTAAAAAAAAATAAAAGATACTGGGCACCTGCTGTGACATCTTGCGCTCAGAATTTCTCTGGGTGTGGCTCAGGTGTCAGTCCTTTTTGTTGTTGTTGTTTAAAGATTGTATTTATGAGAGAGGGGCACCTAGGTGGCTCAGTGGGTTAAGCCTCCGGCTCGGGTCATAATCTCAGGGTCCTGGGATTGAGCCCCATGTCGGGCTCTCTGCTCGGCAGGGAGCCTGCTTTCCCCTCTCTCTGGCTGCCTCTGTCTGCTTGTGATCTCTCTCTCCGTCAAATAAATAAATAAAATCTTTGGAAAAAAAAGTGTATTTATGAGGGAAAGAGAGCACTGAGCAGGGAGCCTGATGCAGGACTCGATCCCAGGACTACAGGGTCATGTCCCAAGCCAAAGGCAGATGCCCAACCAACTGAACCACCCAGGTGCCCCCAGATGTCAGTATCTTTTTAAAAAGATTTATTTTTAGTGCATGCTTGTGTGAGGTGGGGGAGGGGCACAGTGAGAAGAGAATCCCAAGAAGACTCCCTGCTGAGTGTGGAGCCCCCTTGCTGGGTTCCAGGGTTCCACACCGGTCTCAGTCCCAGAACCCTGAGATCATGACCTGAGCTGAAATCCAGAGTCTCAACGCCCAACCCACTGAGCTATCCACATGCCCCAAGCGTCAGTGTCTTTTAAAAGCTACATATAGGGGTGCCTGGGAGGCTCAGTCATTAAGTGTCTGCCTTCAGCTCAGGTCATGATCCCGGGGTTCTGGAATGGAGCTCTGCATCCAGCTTCCTGCTCCACAGGAAGCCCGCTTCTCCCTCTCCCACTCTCCCTGCTAGTGTTCCCTCTCTCGCTGTGTCTCTCCCTGTCAAAATCTTGTAAATAAATAAGTAAATAATAAAAGCTTCATATGTTTCAGCTGTACATCAGAACTGAAAACCTCTGGTGAAGGTTCTTAAGGCCCACTGTAGATCTAGAAACAGGATTCTTTAATCTGAGGTTCTAACATTTGCCCCATGGAATTCTGACTTCGGGTGTAGATGTTGCTTATTACCTTGATCCCCTGATCTGGTCATCCTGTGAATGACTTAATTCCCTATATTCTCTACCAGAGGCCTCAAGACTTTAAGGGATGCGGAAAAGAAAAGGGGTGGTGGCTACTATTGTCGAAGGTAGTTCTTAAATGTATGTTGCACTGAAAGAATGGAGAACAGCAGCAGGAACAGTGTTAAGGATGGGGAAAGCAGGCCAAAGGTGAGAAGTCAGTGCTGTTCGGGTGTGGAAGAAGAGTCGAGTAGGTTTCTACGTCAGGGAAGGGGAAAGTATATCTTTGAGGTTGTCATGGCTAATCTAGTTTCTGAGTGGATCCTTTAAAAAACAAAGACTTTGCAAATTATATTTCAATATTTAGAAAGAAAATTTACCCACCTAGTTTCTTAATGTGAATGAAAGTTTTGTGAAAAAAATAAGCAGTATGAGAAAGCTGTTTTCAAATACTCCCGATACACGGCATTGCCAAGCCCTTTGGATTGTAGGCCAGTTGTGGTTAGTAGTGTAGCCAGAGGAATTTTGCTTTACTGAAAAATCAACTTCTACATAGTCTTCATAGTTATTTTTGTGCACAAAGACCATTTGCCTTGTTAATATAATTGTGTTCAGTGTTTCTTTGTTGTTGAACATTAGGGTTTTTTCAGTTTTGTCTACTACAGATTACATTGCAATGAATATTTTCATAACTTTGGGGCACTGGGGTGGCTCAGTCAGCTAAGCATCTGCCTTCAACTCAGGTCAGGATCTCAGGGTCCTGGGATCAACCCCCAAGTGGGGTGCTCTGCTCATAGAGGGGTGTGCTTCTCCCTCTCCCTCTGCTTGCTCGCTCTCTCCCTCCCTCACTCAAGTAAATAAAATCTTTTAAAAAAATATTTTCATAACTTCATGCTTAAAACATTTTTCTTCAATTATTTCCTCAGGATAAATTGTGAGGAAAATTTTAGGTCAAGAATCTAGATATTGTAATTGCTCTGATACGTTGTTTTACTCCACGTGCACACATATGAATTTGCATTGCCAATGACAGAATGCTTGTTTCCCTGAAAATTGATAGCGCCCGCCCACCTTTTTTTTAGATCTGTTTGAGAGAGTGCAGGTGTGGGGAGGGGAAGAGAGAGAATTCCAAGCAGACGCCCCACCAACTGTAGAGCCCTACTGGATCTCACCACCCCAGGGATCATGACCTGAGTCCAACATCAAGAATCCAATTCTTAACCAACTGAGCCACCCAGGGACCCCAGCCCATTCATATCTTAACATTTATAGTCAGCCTTGCTTGTTCCTTTGCAGATTTTCCTTTTTCCTTTTTTTTTTTTTTAAACTACTAAGCCTGTGTTGCATTTTGGCACTTTTGGCAGTTACACTTTGTAGACATAATTCTAGTAGCTTTAGACTTGCTGATGGTACTAACTAGTTCCCGATTTCCTCTTCTCTAGACTCTTTTACAGCTTGGGTTTTGTTTTTTCCCCCGTATAAATTCTCTAGGTGTAACTCTGATGGCCACCTTCCAGCCCAAACCTACTGTAATCTCCTGTAATGTGGCCAAATGCCTGGAAATCAGCTGGCAGTTATTCAGTAGCTAATCCATATGGAGAGGGATAGAACTTAGGTTAGAATTCTCTGAATACTAGTGGGTCTTCCCTTTCAATTGCTTATTTCTAGGGCCAGAGTTCATCATAACTGACAACATTGATTAGAACCGCTTCACTGCAAGTGGTTGGGGAGTGGAATATTATGTGGGAATTAACTGAAAATTTCTGTAAAGTTTTTCTACACAGAATTCTAACAGCATAGTCAAACGTGGGTTGAACGTCTGCTTCATAAATTACCCAGTTCTCGTTTTTTCTTGATGAAAGCACAGGATACTGGGGGAGATGTTCTACACCTAAGTCAAATTCTTTGGTACTTGTTGGTACCAAACAGTTCTCTTATTTAAAAAGATGAACTGCTGTGGGCGTCTGGGTGGCTCCTACAGTTAAGCTCTGCCTTCAGCTCAGGTCATGATCTCAGGGTCCTAGGCTGGAGCCCCGCATCCCCGCATGGGCCTCCCTGCTCAGCGGGGAACCTGTTTCTCCCTCTGCCCCTACCCTCCTCCCCGCCCCACCCGCGTTCTTGCGCGCGCGCGCTCTCTCTCTCTCAAATAATAGTCTTTTAAAAATTAAATTCTGTTATGACTTCATTTACAAACTGTCTCAAAGTACCGAAGTGGACGATGACGCCAGCTGAATCTAGGAGGCAGAGTGTTAGCTGCCGCGCCAGGAGGAAGCCCCGGGCACCTACGGGAGCCCCGCCACCCGCCGGTTCCACGCTCACCACCCGCGGGTCCCACGCTCTCCACCCGCTGCGGCCATGGGGTTAGGAAGGGGGCGGGCAGCGTCGCCGGCCTGCGGCCCAGACAGCAGGCCCCTCCTGCTCTGCGCGCCAGCTCTCGCCCGCCTCCGAGCCCAGGTCCTCGCGCGGCTGAACCGCGATCCCAGGCCGGGCAGCGGCGCGGCGTGGGGGGCGGAGGGCGGGGCGGCGGCCCCGGCCAGCCCCGTGGGCCCGCGAGGCGCTGAGGGCGCGAGGGGCAGGCAGGCGCCGGGGCCTGAGTGTCCGGCGGAGGGGGCGGCGCCCTCGGCGTCTCCGTGACTGCGCCTCGGCGCCCCGGGCTCGGCGGCTCCCGGGATGCGCGGAGGCGGCGGCGGCGATGGCGATGATGCCTCAAGCCGGGCCTCCTCCCGGGCGGCGGGCGGAGCTGGGGTCCGGGCTGCGAGATGGAGGAGGGGGGCGGCGCTGCGGCCACCGGGCAGGTGAGAGGCCGCGGGCCCCTGAGGAGGATGCCCCGCGGGGGCCGGGAGGGCCGGGTCCCGGGAAGCCGACGGGTTAGGAGAAGCTGGGCTGCGCTGCTCCAGGCCCGGCCGCGCGCACCTGCCCTCCTGGCGCGGTCTGCGTGGAAGCCATCTCGCCCCTGCGGGGCCGGCTCCCGGGCTGTGCCGGGACGCAGAACCGGTTCCCCACTGCCCTTGCCCTGTGTGAGCTCTCAGCCCCCCACCAGCCCTCCGCCGATTATCTTGCAAGCTTCCAGGTCCGAAGTAGGCCTTCCTTACCTTTCGCACCCCGGGGAGCGCCCGCCCACCGCTAGTCCCTGGCTGGGGTCGACCTCCCCTTCCAAAATCCTCGCTCTCCATCCCCAGATTTGGGGGGGAACTTCCTTAGCCTCCCCATCTCCCTCATCCATTGACCCTACCCCAACCCGTCAGCTGCTCCGGGCTTCAAGAGGTAGTTGAACTGGGGAGAAAGAGCATGGGCTCTGAAATCAGATAAATCTAACCTGAATCTTAGTGACCTTGGGCAAGTCATCTCACTTCCCTGAGGCTTTCCTGATTAATACAAATACAATGGGGATAATAATAGCACAGAACCTTGCTCTCTGTGAGGGTTAGCCTGTGAAAATGCCTGTCCTCAAGGAATTTAAGGCATTAAGGGGCAGGGGGGGGGGGCGTTTGGAAGAATTCCAGCCAGGAGCTAACTTGTAAAAGCTCAAACAAAACGTTTTCATATGGACTAAAATATTAAGATAGCACATCAGATTATCACAGGCTTTTCACACATCTTAGTGAGAAATCATTGCCACTTTACACAAATTTTCATTTACTATTCCTTGCTTACTAGTTACTTTAGGATCCCCCCTCCTTAGTTGTAACAAGATGCACATAGATATGAATTCATTCTAACTGTGGCTAACAGGCCCGCCAAAGACTGGTGTTCCAACTTAAAATTTTTCTGATTTTATGACTTTAATCACCTACTTATGGTGCCAGAAATAAAGAGCCTTTAGTATGCTTGCATTGAAAGGAAAGTTGGTAATTTGTATTTACTATATAGCAGTACCAAATAAGCATTCATTCATCACCCCACACCGAGAATCACTGAATTTTATAGAGCTACCATCATAACTTCGTTCAAAACAACGATCTCAGCCTCCTCTTTCTTAAAAGTCCCAGAAGTGGGTTTACTTTTCCTTCTTCTCCTTTACTCTGTAAGTTTGTCTGCCAAAACTTATATATATATATTTTTTTAATTTTACTTATTTATTTGACAGACAGAGATCACAAGTAGGCAGAGAGGCAGGCAGAGAGAGAGAGAAAGGGAAGCAGGCTCGCTGCTGAGCAGAGAGCCCAATGCAGGACTCGATCCCAGGACTCTGAGATCATGACCTGAGCCGAAGGCGGCAGCTTAACCCACTGAGCCACCCAGGTGCCCCAAAACTTATATTTCTGTTCTATGTTTTGCTTTTCCTTTTCTTCCCGGCCTCTCATTGCTTTCTTTTTTTCCTAATGCTCCAATAAGAATGACTTATAATTACTTTATGCCACAACCATAATTATCAACTTTGCCAAAAAGGTACATGGAAGTGTGTCCTGTGTTCCTATTTGAGTTCCAGGAACTTAGAGTTGGGGAGGGATTGTAATACCTACTTCATAGGATTGTACTGAGAGTGAAGTAAAGTTTGATAGCTTGTGTAAAGCTTCTGGTATGTATGCTAATCACCCAGTAAATGAAGGCTGCTGTAACTATCTTCTGACCTGAGGACGGCCCCTTTCTCTTTGTTGTTATGCTGAGTTGAGCCGGTTAAGGACAAGTGTCAGCTGTAGAGAGTACCTGCTTGGCTTCTAATTCATGCCCTACTGCTTTATTTTTTATTATTATTTTTTAAAGATTTTATTTATTTATTTGACAGACAGAGATCACGATTAGGCAGAGAGGCAGGCAGAGAGAGAGGAAGGGAAGCAGGCTCCCTGCGGAGCAGAGAGCCCGACACGGGGCTCGATCCCAGGACCCTGGGATCATGACCTGAGCCGAAGGCAGAGGCTTTAACCCACTGAGCCACCCAGGCGCCCCCCTACTGCTTTAAATTAGGAGCTCTCACTCCAGCTCACTTTCCTTATCTGTAAAATGGGGATGAGTTGTACTATTTCCTGGTCCTGAGGATTCAACAAGTTAATAGCATGGAACACTGAGAACAGTGCCCAGCACATCATAAGCACTCAACAAAGTTAACATACTATTAATGATACTGATAATTATATTACTGACCTAGAATTCCTTTTTTTAAAATTTGAAATTTTTTTTTAAAGATTTTATTTATTTATTTGACAGAGATTACAAGCAGGCAGAGAGGCAGGCAGAGAGAGGAGGAAGCAGGCTCCCTGCTGAGCAGAGAGCCCGATGCGGGGCTTGATCCCAGGACTCTGAGATCATGACCCGAGCCGAAGGCAGAGGCTTTAACCCACTGAGCCACCCAGGCGCCCCAAAAGTTTGAAAATTTTTAAATACATTGAAAAAATTATAACTGTGAAGAAAGTGGAAGTTGGCCCTCAGCAATTCCAAATCTTTTTTTTCTCCTGCCTCTTTTTCTTGAATAATGTTGGTGCCTTACCATTCCATCTTCCCCTTGACTGTTCTGTTTCTAAATAATCTCCTAGCCTGAGGTCTCCATAGTCTCCAGCTACCCCACTTCTTCATTACTACCCACTTACTCGATATTTCTCTTAGCATCAATTCCAGATGCTTCATACTTCTAATTTCCCAAACCCAATTCCTACTTCGATCTTCACCCCTGTTCATTTCCCTGCCTCCAAAGGGTTTCCCCTTTGCTAGAAACAATAGTATCACCTCTCTGCCTTCCTGCCTCCTCAAACTGAGTTTTGTTTGCTGTTTCTCTTTTCATTAGCTAATACCAATCCTCCAATTAACAATGAAAACAAACAGTAAAAGTTGTTGTTTCTACTATGGAGCTATCAAAAAGGGTTTAGAAGCAGGCACAGGGTCTTTAAGTGAAAACAGTAAGCTATCCATTATTTTTAAATTTTAATCAAGATACAAAAGGTAGAAATTTATATTTTTCCCTTACAGAAATTTTATAAAGAAAGTACAGAAAAGCTGGTCTCCTTGCCAGTAGAGAAATTCATCATAATGTCATGATCTTTACTGTTCGACCATTGAGAATAAAGAGGCCATCTCTGGGGCCCCTGGATGGCTCAGTGGGTTAAGCCGCTGCCTTCGGCTCAGGTCATGATCTCAGGGTCCTGGGATCGAGTCCCGCATCGGGCTCTCTGCTCAGCAGGGAGTCTGCTTCTCTCTCTCTGCCTGCCTCTCTGTCTACTTGTGATCTCTGTCTGTCAAATAAATAAATAAAATCTTTAAAAAAAAAAAAAAGAGGCCATCTCTTCCTTCATAAAGAATATATATACCAATATACCATTAGGTATATGGACTTCCCCAGGACTGAAATTTGTCCCGTTCTCACTGGCATAGCCATACCTACTACTGAATGCAGAGAGACTTCTCTTCGGGTAGCTGCTCAGAGCCCTTAGGAATCCATCGTGGACCTGGCCCCTCTTTATCTCTGCCCCAGGATCCAGCAACTGAAGGGTTAACCCTTGACACAGCTGGAGGCCTCTGGGACCCCTTAGGAGCTGGTGATTAAATATTTGGGACATCACTGCTGGACCTCCCCAGTGCCATTGCTCCTAAAATGCTAAATTCAAGCAATACATTTGAGTTGTCAAGAGCAATGCACCGGTCTCTAAGGTACAACTTCCCACTGGAAGCATCCTTCAGAGCAGAGAGGGCACTGTAAAGTTTTTCTGGCGAGATAAACACAACACCAGGCAAAGTGGGTGCAAGGCAAGATTTATTAAAGGCGCTCTCCGGTGAAGTTTCAGGACTCAGAAGGAGGGGAGCCAGGAAAGTTGCACGGGGAGGAGGTGGGCGCCCTCGGGCGAAGTTCCGCAACTCTGGAAAGCAGAGTGGCAGAAGTCGCGCCTAAGGCAGGGAGGAGGGGGCTTTTAAGGGGTCTCGAGGGGAGCTCAGGGGTCTTTTGGCAAGTTTCCTTTATTCGGATATTTCGCCTGCTTGTCGGGGTCCCTTTGGTCCATAGGAGCCCGGGGCGGGGGTCTCAGATTCCTGCTTGGGCCTTTGTTCTCCTGTCGGAGCTCAGTTCTTGTGGCGGGAACTTTCACCATCTTGGGCCTTTGTTCTCCGGTCCGAGTTCAGGTCTTGTGGCGGGAGCTTTCGCCATCTTAAGTAGCCCTTTCTGCCAGCCCAACAGGCACCAGGCCCCACAGGGCTCTGGGATCTGGAATAGCAGAAGATGTGTGAGAGTACTTTAAATCTCACTGGAGGAAAAAAAAAAGTTGAAGAGAATAAAGAGCAGAAAGAAAGAGAAGTTAATTCTTTCAAAACAGAGGCTAGGTCTTACTCCTCTGTCCACCCACAGACCCTAGCATAAAGCTGGCATAGAGTGTGCACACAATAAATGTAAACTGAGCCAGTGAATGCATGAGTGGATGTGTGCCTCCTGCTTCCACGGGAGGATATTGCTGTTGGAATAATAACTCACCTCTGTACAGTGGTTGAGAGTTGACAAATGGGTGCTCACCTTGTTAATCTCGAATATAATTGACACCCATGAATGCTTTCATTTTTGCCTCTCAAACATAGTCCACAAAATTTTCTCCAAAGGAAGATGGGGAGTTGGCCAAGAAATTACCAGCAGGGAGAAGAAATGATACATGATAGAAAATAAAGGCTTGTTCCTAGGAAAAGAAATAGGATTTGTTGGAGCGCCTGGGTGGCTCAGTAGGTTAAGCCTCTGCCTTAAGCTCAGGTCATGATCTCAGGGTCCTGGGATCACCCGGGGAATCTCCTCTCAGCAGGGAGCCTGCTTCCCCCCCTTCCTCTGCCTGCCTCTCTACCTACTTGTGATTTCTCTTTCTCTGTCAAATAAATAAATAAAATCTTTTAAAAAAAGAAAGAAAGAAAGAAATAGGATTTGTTAGCGATTTGTGGGGGCCCCAGTGTACTTCAGCAATACCCTCTGGCTTGTATCTCAAGCACATGCTGTAAGAGCTATTCCTGTCCTCCCAGCCTGCCTTCCCGCCAGTCCCTGCCCCTCCCCTCCCCCCACAGCGAGCTCCTCCTCAGCACCACTCCCTTCAGCCTCTCAGCCTCTACCCCAGGGTGGATTAGGTTCCCTTTCTCTTACTCTATCATGTGATTTACCACATTAGGCTTTAAGTAGGGAGTGATCTCTTTGGTGCAATAATGTTCTTGGATCTCCAGCATGAGGCACCAGAAGATTTCTAAGAGTAACACTGCATACCCTTCAACCAGAAACTCAAAGGGTGGGGCCCAGGAATCTGTTTTTTTTAACCCACTCTCTAGGTGATGCTTAAATGATTTTGCAAACCTCTATGCCAGGAAACCTGAAATTAGCTGGAAGAATGTATTTTGAGGTGTCTGTGTCTTTTCTGTGTTGGGCCTTGTGAGAAGAAATGCTTTCTCTGCCTCAGGTCAGAGCTAAAAAAAACCCTAGTGCTTTTGTACAAAATCCTGAAATCACGCTGCTCTCTCCATTAATTCTGTCTCTGGGTGTGCATTTCTGTGCGCAGGCTTTTCTGCCTTGGGCCTCTTTTGTCGCATGTGGCGCAGCTGTGAGTCCAGGCCCTGACTCCCTTGCCCCAGAAGGAAGAGTCCTTCCCGTCTGAAGATGAACTCCATGGAGCCCCTGGAGGTTGGTCCCAACGGGACTTGGCTGCGCGCACCTCGCTCCCAGGGAGGAAACAGCACTGCCGTCCCGGGGGACCTCCAGCACCTCATCCACACGGCCACTTTGGTCACCTGTACTTTTCTACTGGCGGTCATCTTCTGCCTGGGCTCTTACGGCAACTTCATTGTCTTCTTGTCCTTCTTTGATCCAGCCTTTAGGAAGTTCAGAACCAACTTTGATTTCATGATCCTGAACCTGTCCTTCTGTGACCTCTTCATTTGTGGAGTGACCGCCCCCATGTTCACCTTCGTGCTCTTCTTCAGCCCTGCCAGCAGCATCCCGGATGCTTTCTGCTTCACCTTCCACATCACCAGCGCCGGCTTCGTCATCATGTCCCTCAAGACCGTGGCGGTGATCGCCCTGCACCGGCTCCGCATGGTGCTGGGGAAGCAGCCCAACCGCACGGCCTCCTTTCCCTGCACCGTGCTTCTCACTCTGCTTCTCTGGGCCACCAGTTTCACTCTGGCCACCCTGGGCACCCTGAAAACCAGCAAGTCCCACCTCTGCCTTCCCATGTCCAGTCTGACGGCGGGAGAAGGGAAAGCCATCGTGTCTCTGTACGTGGTGGACTTCACCTTCTGTGTGGCGGTGGTGTCGGTCTCCTACATCATGATTGCGCAGACGCTGCGGAAGAATGCCCAAGTCAGGAAGTGCCCCCCGGTCATCTCAGTGGATGCTTCCAGACCGCAGCCCTTCATGGGGGCCCCCGGGAAGGGAGGGGGCCATCCTGTGCAGTGTACCGGGCCCGCTCTCTACCGGAACCAGAATTACAACAAGCTGCAGCACATTCAGACCCATGGGTACCCCAAGAGCCTGAACCACATGCCCACCCTGGCAGCTAGCCGGCTCCAGCTCGTGTCGGCTGTCAACCTGTCCACGGCTAAGGACTCCAAGGCAGTGGTCACCTGCGTGATTATTGTCCTGTCTGTCCTGGTGTGCTGTCTTCCCCTGGGGATCTCCTTAGTGCAGGTGGTCCTGTCCAGCAATGGGAGCTTCGTCCTCTACCAGTTTGAACTGTTTGGATTTACCCTCATATTTTTCAAGTCAGGGTTAAACCCTTTTATATATTCTCGAAACAGCGCGGGGCTGAGAAGGAAAGTGCTCTGGTGCCTCCAGTATGTCGGCCTGGGTTTCTTCTGCTGCAAACAGAAGACTCGACTTCGAGCCATGGGAAAAGGGAACCTGGAGGTCAACAGAAACAAGTCCTCCCATCATGAAACCAACTCTGCCTACATGTTGTCTCCAAAGCCCCAGAAGAAATTTGTGGACCAGGCTTGCGGCCCAAGTCACTCGAAGGAAAGTGTGGTCAGTCCCAAGATCTCCGCTGGGCATCAGCACTACGGTCAGAGCAGCTCAACCCCCATCAACACCCGGATTGAACCCTACTACAGCATTTATAACAGCAGCCCCTCCCAGGAAGAGAGCGTCCCGCAGAATTTACAGCCAGTAAACTCTTTCGGATTTGCCAATTCCTATATTGCCATGCATTATCACACCACTAATGATTTAATGCAAGAATATGAGAGCACGTCGGCCAAGCAGATCCCAGTGCCCTCCGTTTAGTGTCCTGGAAGCTGGAGACTCATGCACAAACTGTTTTTGTTTTGGATACTAATGGATTTCTTTTTCACTTTTGTGAGACCAACAGCAGATGAAAACTTAACCGGTTCAGCGGAACGGTTGGCCGTTAGGATTTTCTTCTGTCTGAAGTATTGGCATCTATCAATTAGCTTTGTGGTTTCCTGACGTTTTAAGATTTGATGTAAACATTTATAATTTAGATTTTTACCCTGACCTGTGCTCTGATCTTTGGTACTAAACTTTTAAACCGATGCCAAGAATGATCATGCTAATCTATTAAAGGAGAATGAACAGTTTGTGACTGTTTGAGTCCGTGTTTCGGGTCCTCAAAGTGCACACGAGCTGGATTTTTTAAATGTGAGGGTGTGATCTTCACTGCAGTGAATTTTTCCTTAATTGAACTGTAAATTTTGATCCTTTGACGTGTTGAAATGGGGAACAATGCACTTTTTTGGTAGCAGGCTTATTTGAATAAATAATACATTGTCAAAGCAGAAAGTCAGAAACATATTCTCAGTAATTACCTTACCCAAGACACACAGGCATTAGGTATTTTGCTTTCCTAAGACAGTCAACCAAGTATTATGATTGCTACCATTTCTTATGATAGACCCTATTATTTTGTGTGAATTGACGCTATTATTTTGTGTGAATTGACTAACTGTATAGTTCTTTTTTTTTTTTTTTTTTTTAAGAAATATGTTTTTGCCTGCTAAAAATGTATCATTCTATTTTGGAATGAGCTTACCCAAGAAACCTAGTGAAGAGGACTGTACTTATAGTAGAGGACCTTGATTTCTGGGAGCAGAGGCACTAACTGGTCCTCTGAGCCAGGGTGTCGGTGATGTGCGAAGCAACCCGGACTCCTGCCGTGTGTTAGATGATCTCCATTATTGCTTAAGAAGGTGTGAGAACGAGATTGGGAGGATTTACCCTGTTCCGTCTGTGTGAGGGTGGTTTGTTAACAAGCTGACAAAGAGTATCCAAGTAACTATTTCAAAATAATTTTTTTGTCTTTGTTTAAATATCACTGCGGTAGAAAAATTCTTAAGATTATGTGTTTTCAAACTAATTGTGCTGTTTCTCTCCCATTAATCTTGGCAATGGGTGATAAGGAAAACTAGATTAAGTATTTCTAAGCCTAAAACTAATTTTATGACCTACTCTGTAATTCCTAGCGTAACAACGGTAAATTCATATTTTTACGTAAAAATATTTTCATTATACAGTTAGCTTTTGAACTTGATACAATTTTCAAACTATAGCTGTTAGACTCAAGACAAGCGTCAAGATCCAAAACCTATCTTTAGAAATTGTTATATTCCAGAACTGTTACTGCAGGTTGGAAGGAACTGTTGTTTTGGAGGAAGGTATTCAATGTACGGCTCCCTCTCCGGGCTGTTCCCAAATACAAGTGCACCGCGAAGTGTAGAGAAACCCCTAGTCAGTGCTCAGCCTGAGATCTGCACAGCCTCATCCAGCTGCTGTTTTCCAGCACCGACCAGTCATTCTGTTTGGGGGGTTTAAGGAGGAGATATGGGTTTTATTTTCTTTTTAAATTCACCTTTTAGGACTTTCTCCTTCCCTTCCTTCTCTCCTTTTCTTCCTTTATTTTTGCTATTTAAATTTTCTAACAGAAGAGAAATATCCACTCTATCACATTTTTTTCTTGTTTGTAATTGAATGCTATTTTTGGAAGTCACTACAACCTATTTCAATTATGCTTTTATATTTTTAATACAACACTGTTTTCATTCGTTAATACTCCCACGAGATAGGTTAGTCTATTACCCCTTTTTAACAAAGAACTAAGAAATCCAGTATCCTTTCCAAGATCATTTGAAGATAATTCTAATTAGGAATTAGACTTTTGTCTAAATTTAGAACTGGGTATTTATTCCAATAAGCCAAACAGCTTTATAATTACTAAGATTAATCAAGAAGATATTTCATACTTTTTAAGGTATGTATCTCTTTTTTGGCTAGGCATTTCGAGTGTGATTCAATCAGAGATTTTTAAAAAGTAATTCCTACTCGTAAAATTTGAACCGACAGGTTTATTGTACAACCTTTGAGTTTGAGATGACCTGATCCATCTTTGGGAGGTAGACGTTAATAGTATAAAGAAAAGTAAGCATGCGCATATGAGGTATTCAGTCTCTGTATGCTCCTCAAGAAATTACTGATGTAACTTGCATGAAATACATGTTGGGCTAGATTCTTAGCCCTCCTTTCCGTCTATCTCTACATCTATGCAGAGATACAGAGATAGATAAAACTTATCTCTTCGTAAGTTATATATGTCTATCTATAGAGGGAGATACAGGTAGACATATATAACTTCTCTATAAGGGCTAAACTGAGAACTAAAAATAATGAGAATTCAGTTGACTATGACTAATTATTAGCAGGGTATATTAATTAGTTCTCTTGACGCTTTACTGTGATGCAAAGTATGTGATGTATTTCAAACATTTTATAATTGTTCTGATGTTAACCTTTAGGCCAGATTTGTATTTCTGATGCTTTTAATGTTCTTTTAAAATAATGTTTGGAAAATAAAAATATTGAAAACCCTAACATTTCTGAACATCGGATTGCAGTCCTATGACTTTCCCATCAAATCATCTGAAAACCATCAGAGGAAAGTAATGATGATTATTGCACAATGGATAACAATGTGTTGACACCCAGCGTTCTCTCTTTTTTTTTTTTTAAGATTTTATTTATTTATTTGACAGAGAGATCACAAGTAGGCAGAGAGGCCGGCAGAGAGAGAGGGGGAAGAAGACTCCCTGCTGAGCAGAGAGCCCGACGCGAGGCTCGATCCCAGGACCCTGAGATCATGACCTGAGCCAAAGGCAGAGGCTTAACCCACTGAGCCACCCAGGCACCCCATCTTTTTTTTTTTTTTATGATTTTATTTATTTGTCAGAGAGAGAGCACAAGCAGACAGAGTGACAGGCAGAGGCAGAGAGAGAAGCAGGCTCCCCAGTAAGCAAGGAGCCTGATGCTGGACTCGATCCCAGGATCTCAGGATTATGACCTGAGCTGGAGGCAGCAACTGAACTGACTGAGTCACCCAGGCGTCCCTATACCCAGTATTCTCTTAAGAGATGAAATGATTGGGGCGCCTGGGTGGCTCAGTGGGTTAAAGCCTCTGCCTTCGGCTCAGGTCATGATTCCAGGGCCCTGGCATCGAGCCCCGAATCAGGCTCTCTGCTCAGCAGGGAGCCTGCTTCCTCCTCTCTCTCTGCCTGCTTCTCTGTGATCTCTGTCTGTCAAATAAATAAATAAAATCTTAAAAAAAAAAAAAAGGAGATGAAATGATTGTGGGTTTTTTGTTTTAATTTTTTCTCTAGTAAGTTCTATGCCCAATGTGAGGTTCAGACCCACAATCCTGATATCCAAAGTCTCATGCTCCACCCACTGAGCCAGTCAGTGCCCTGGATTCTCAGAATCTCTTCAAAGTTTCCAGAGAGTTCTGTGGCTCAAGGTCAGTGCTGCTGATGATGTCGCTCTCTCTCTCTTTTTTTTAAGATTTATTTAATTTTATTTAATTTATTTGGGAGAGAGAGAGAGAGCGCATGAGAGGGGAGAAGTCAGAGGGAGAAGCAGACTCCCCGTTGAGCAGGAAGCCCCATGTGGGACTCGATCCCGGGACTCCAGGATCATGACCTGACCTGAAGGCAGTTGCTAAACCAACTGAGCCACCCAGGTGTCCCTAATGTTGACGATCTCATCAAAATACTCTCAAGTGGTATTTCCACTGAGCTTAATGTTTTTCTGCTTCTTTCTGTCTCTTGGCAGTTCCTTATCTGTTCTGAATGGCCAGTTTCACAGTCATCCTCGGGCCCTTCCTATCACTGGTTGGCTTGGCAATCTCATCACCAACCATTTTTCCAGACAGACCCCGTGGGACCAATCTTTGGGGCCAAGGCATATGTGGCACAAACCTCCCCATTGGTGCACCTCAGGTATAAGACTTTGATCTCACTGGGGCCAAAAAGTTTAGGCAGCATGGTGGAGGTGGCTGGTTTTAGATGAACTCAGATTCAGGATGACTAAAGACCGTTGCAACTTCGCCTCCTCTGAGCTAAAAGCCAAGAGCAAAAATGCGTATCCTAGAGTTGGTAATCTATATGGTGTGTATATGCTGGGGGGAAACCTCAAAACTGTGGTCCCTTGACAAATAACTTAAGGATCTCTCTCTCTCTCTCTTTTTTTAAGGATCCTTCTTTGAAACTATTATTTGGAGTAGTTTCTTGGTTAGCAGCTCCATATCTGGGAGAAATACCCTTCTACGATTCCAGGTGGGAATTCTTTTACGAAGTGGGAAGGGGGCAGTAACAGATGGACAGTGGCCAAGAAAAAGTAGCATGAGATCCTGCAGAGTTAAGGCACAGAAGCTTTTTTTAAAAAAATTTTTTTTTAAGATTTTTATTTTAAGTAATCTCTACACCCAACATGGGGCTCAAACTCACAACCCTAAGATCAAGAGTCCCATACTCTTCCAACTGAGCCAGCCAGGCATCCTGGTACAGAAGCGTTCTTAAACAGCTCAGTTTTAGGGTATTAAAAATGAGCATCTGTAAACCTCCCTTTTTCATTTTCAAGTCACTCACATCCTAGTTCGAAGACTTCCACTCCAAGCCACCAGCGACACGCCTTGGGTGCTGACAGTCTTGGGTTCCTGTCCAGATCTGACTTGTGATTATAACACAGTCTTAAATAATTCTCCATAATCTAGCCAGGCCAGGCCATGGAGGCTCCCTTTTCAAAGACACCCTCCTCCTTCACAGTTCAGGGGCAATGTATACCTAGTGAGATTTTTGACTCCCAGAGAGACCTGTGTTTTCTCCCATATCCACTGAAAGCAGTTTTCTTTTCCATTAATGAAAGAAGCTTACGGTTCCACCAGAGAAACTTGCGCCACTGTTCTCCTACTGGAGTTGAAGGAAGGCCAAGGGTCAGTGAAGATCCCAGGCCTATGGAGCGGTAGGAGAGGCAGGCAGGCTGCCAGGAGATGGCTCTTCTCCATCAGAGATCCAGGCTTTAGGGAGGCCAGCCTAGGTCTGGACTGAGCCTAGCACACAAAGCAGCAAGCTTCACCAGTGGGAAGACTCTGCTGGGGCAGGTGACAGCAGGATGAGCTTCAGTGGGCTCAGCCCAGCTGTACTGGCCCAAACGTGATGAGATGCAAGGGAGCCAAAGTCACTAGTTGGTGCAAAGACAATGACCACTTGAAGCCAGATGGGGTAATCTTTGAGCAGCTAAAGAAGGGAGAGGAGGAGAAGAAAGATAG